GTGTGTGTGTGTGTGTGTGAGCGAGCGAGCGAGCGAGCATGTGAGAGAGAGAGAGTGTGAGTAAAATAATATCAACCGAAACATCTCTGTATTTGCATCGACCAAAGTTTGGAACAGTTGATCTAACTGACTGGAACTGTGTCAAGACATCCTGTGAATTATGTATAAGTTGTTGGTGATGATGCATTTGATGTCACAGTGACAGTGAAGGTGCTCGTGAACCTGAAGAGGCCTCTGATGTGCACAGACACATTTTAAGGTGGTTGCTCCGTGTTGCTCAGCTGAGTCCTCTCCTCTCACTGAGGGAGGCAGCTGCTGCAGGTTCTTCGGTCTCCGGAGGATCTGTCACATCGGGCACAAACACAGCTCTAGTCCTGCTTTAATTGATGAGGCCAACTGCTGTCTTTGTTCCCCAGCTGCTGTTTGGGTGTGTCTCACCTGAGACGTGCTGAACGCTTCATAAAGGACCATTTGTGTTGGGACAGTTATTGCACAGTGTGGTTTTGATGTGTCAGAAAGCTGTGACATGAGCTCAGGTTAACGTGTCTTCATTTGTCTGTAGTCCAGGGATGAAGTTTGAAGATGGTAGCTTACCCGCTTTTACAAGTTAGTCAGTTGGTTGTGTCTGTGGAAATGAAACCCAACACTTCCCACACAGCGTTTGATTTGCATCTTTACTCTCACCTCCAGTCCAGTTAAACTGGTTCAGACAAGCTCTTATTTGTTTTCAGAGTCTGTGACACTGTGACACTCTTCCATCATTTGAATTTATAATTATTTTCCTCTCATGATTTGTTTGTGTTCTATTTTTGTTCACTGCAGGATGAACCTCCACAACTAGTTTCTCTTCCTCTACGACTTGTGCCTTTTTCTCTCACATCATTCTAAAAGCAATATACAGTACAGTTTCTCACACGACAGTTTCAGTCCTAAATGCATCTGTTGCTCAGTTTGTCCAACACTGCCTCTGTGCAGACAAGTGACTTGTCTGTATTAACATAAAAGTAGAGATGTTCCGATACCTTTTGTCCCTTTTCAATTCATACACATGGTTTTTTTAATGTAAGGAGTCATTTTTAAGGATTATTCATTGACCTTTATTGTTGTCTTTCTGTCAGCTCTCTTCCGAGATGTCTCCACTGAGTCCAGGGAGTTCGAGGACATGGTGAACATCCTGACCTCCAGTTACTTCGACACTGGCTCAGCTGGCTGCTTCACCTACTGCAAACCTCGGCTCGTCTACAGCGAGCTGCTGGAGAAAGAGGTGAGGGCTTGAATGGGCTTCTTAAATAGTATGTGATGTTGCTACAGCATCACTTGCAAATGAAATCCTTTTATTTTGGAGCATCACACCATTGTTCATATTTTCAGCTGTCATTTAAACTGTATTAGAAGTTGGACACTTTATTATAAATAAGGTAAATTAAAAGAAAACACAAATACATCTCATAAGTTCTAACTGCTCCGTTTTGAATTAAGAAAATATTCTTATACAGAAATGCAATGTTTATACTGTGAAATAAGTTTTCATATTGGTGCATATTGGAAAAACATTTCCACTGATATGTCTGTTATTGAGAAATTGAGAAAAAACGCTTTGTTCTCGTGTGTTTTTCAGTTTGTGGAGAAGAGGAGGGAGATGAAGATGGACGGGAGGACGGATACGGAGCTGGAGGAAAGTTACGGTTTCATGTTGGTTGATGCTCCAAAGGTGAGATGAACTCAGAGTTGCTTCTTTTTTTGTGTAATTGGGAAAACAAGGTTTTAAATGAGCTAAACACAGACGGTGTCGTTGATGAATTTATCCTGAACCAGGTCCTTTATTTTCGACCGACGTATTCACAAGAAGTATTGATATCTTGGATCTGGACAGAGAAGAATTACTGGATTTTACTGTGGAAAAGCAAAGACCTGCTTTTGAAAACTGGGATCAAATGAAGAATTGATTATTATTTGATGAGCCTTATTCTCAACAATGTCATTTATGGTTATTTGTTCGTTGTAGGTGCACCAGCTCTGCGAGAACGGTCTGTGTGTGAGTCACAGCTGGATCACAGTGCTGGGAAACCCCAGTAAAGGTAAGAGGGATACACACTTATACAATAACACTATGTTTTCACTCTTTCCATCTGTTTATTGTTCAGACATGTTTGGCGACTGCTAATGGGAATTGAAAGAAAATGAACTGTGTTTTCTATTTTTTCTATTTTGTTCTTGTGTGTGTGTGCATCTGTCTCCAGGAGTGTATCTGTCCAGGTACTCAGACCTGCTTCAGATTAACTCGTTTACCCCAGGAGCCACAGGGGAGATCATCATCTTCAAAGTGATGAAGGTAAATCTGCCAACTGGTAGTTATCATCATCACCACTCTGTTACTGTACATTAAGGAAATGTGATGTTATCAATGATGTCCTGAGGCAATGTTGTTCTTCAGTCATATTTTAATAGATACTAAGGCTTCATTAGATGTCAGAGATCGGAGAGTGTGAATCGTGTGAAATGATGAGTCAAGTTAGAGTCCAGAGAAAATAGCGTGTTACCGCCACAAATGTGCTGTAAATTATAAAGTGAACACACACAGGCAACATCAGAGCTTTCATGAGCCTGAACATAGTTCTGAGATCAGATGTGAAGACAGATATCACTTCCACTTTGGTATAATTCATGTCTATTTTTAGCTTTAATAGGTCAAACACAGCTCTTCCCTGACTGCACTACACTAAGATTGTCTAACTACATGTTACCTCACATTAAATCACCTCACATGACACTGACCATGACAGTGATGATGTATGTCGAACATATGGAGATGACCAAGAATGTGTGCATTGTTGTTTTTAAATATTTTTGCTTGTACTCTGTGATAATAAATGAAAATAAAGAGTTTTCAACAGTTGAATTGTCTCTAATTTTGGTTTCAGGGAAAAGTGAAGAGTATCTATGAAAACATGAAGAACGTTCTGGATCCAACGCCTCGCTTCGACAGCCACATCTTCAAGAACGCCAGCAAAGTCACCTCACTCACGTCCTACCGCTCCTTCGAGTTCACACAGGTACAGGAACAACGGTGTAACTATGCACTAAGCACACTCCTGCAGAAACCTTTGTATTTCATGTTTGGATCAAGTTGTGTTGAAAAGTTGGTGACATTTTTCATTTCAGATAAAATATTGGTTTAGTTTTCAAACCCTTGGTTTTTCTTTAGGAACATGAAACATGACTTTTAACCTTTTCATTATGTTTATTGCAGCATTACTTCTACGAGTATTCGTTCGATGAATTGCGGCAGCGACCTCGCCAGGTTTGTCCGTACGCCGTCGTCTCCCTCCTGTTCAAAGGAAAGGACACTCCGCTTCTGAGGTATGGATATCTGGAATGATAATATGCTTGTCAGGTTTAATGCCAATCAACGGCATAGATATAAATCAGAAAAACTTTATTGATCCCAGGGGGAAATTGTATAGGGAAAAAAAAAAAAAACAAATAAGAAAATGCAGAGATCTGTGGAGCGATCTGAGAAATGTCACTGAAAACGTAATCATCTGTAAAATAGAGGTCGTAGAATGAATTGGTGGCTTTTTTGTTGATCGATTTGTCGGTTTGAACAGGTTTATTAATCCTGCTTGTACAATAACATACACAAATAAAATAGGAAAACTTGTTTTTGTATGAAAATCATTTACAGTGTAAAGACTTGAAACATGCCCAGTGTTGGTGAATAAAAAGTCTAATACCGGGTCAGATACTACGTCCAGACTTCTTATCCAACTTTCAGATTCTATTTTCCCCGGAGTCTTCGATCTTCGGTCAAAAGAATTCCCTGGAGATGATCAGAGTTCAGTGCAGTAGAGTTTATTCTTTCACAAGCATTAAACCTGAGCTGGCTCCGGAACCAAACTGAAAACTGAGCTTCTACACCTCTTGTTTTATTGGTTTCCTTTCCTGGTCACACTCTCTTTGTAGATTTTTGGCCTCAGATCACTCAATCATGCGAAGCCTTTGAACTGCGCTTGCAATCGATACGCCATCACCCATCTCAATATAGGCTTCTAGCTGCAGCTCAATGCTAAGCTATGCCTTTCTTATCTTTGTGGTGTTTCTGATCTGATCGCTGTGGCGGTGAGTCTTCTTTATCTCACCTACCACACTGTTTATCTTGGATCTCAACAAGGCATGTGGCAGCTTTGAACTTCTGAGGCACACATCGTGCAGACACAAGCTTGCAAGACAACGAATACAGAATTTTTGTACAACACCGGATGAGGTCGACAGTCACAACAAATCCATGTGTTATGTATATTGAGTTGATTTGTTTTTTGTGTGGTAAGCAATTCACGTTTTTGAGAAAGTGCAGGAGGATAGAAATGTGGATTATTATCCAAACAGTGTGCAGTAAAGTAAAGATTCCAGAAATGACAGTTTCTCTGTGTTTGAACAGGATGAACAGTCAGACAACAGAGGGGAGTAAAGGTGAGAACTGGTCCCTGTTTTATTCAATATAGGACATGATGACAAGTCTTAAGTTTAACTGTATTGCCTTGAACCTGCTACTATTGACCTCACGCTCTCTCTCTCTCTCTCTCTCTCTCTCATTCGCCTTTACTTTTCTCTCAGAGCGAGCTCAGTTCACAGTGTGGACCGGAGATTTGGTGAAAGGCGACCAGGTTCTCTTCCAGATCTCCCTTCGCTCCTTTTCTCCGCCCTTCCTGCCCCACAGACTGTGAGTGCAGACACGGAGTAAAAGCCTAATAATGTCAAGAAAACCTTCCCGTCCATATAAATGCAAAATTATGTCCAATTTTCGTCTGCGTTATATTTTGACCTCCTCAGATTTCAAAATGATTCCCTCTGTGTGTATCTCACCTTGTGTCTTCTTCAGACCAGAGAAGTTGAAAATTGGTTGCGTGATGAGACTTGACCAGGTGACCAAGCTCCTCCCCTCCAGCCTGTTCTCCTACAACCTCTACAACAGCAGCCAAGAAGGTGAAGTCAAATGAACCCTCAGACTGATGAGATGTCACACACCAGAATGCAGCTGATGTTTTAGACTGAAGTAAAAACTTATTTTGTGTTGACGTTTTATATTTTTTAAATGAACCAAAATGATGAAATTCTTTTAGCTCTAATTTCTTTCAACTATTGG